AGCTCGTCTGAGCTACGAGATTTTTCATTATTTGCAACTTTTCTTCTCTGAAAGTAAATAACTGACTAAGAAAAATTACAGGTTCACACCCTTTAAATTCGATTTTTTAAAATTGGCTTGGAAATGATAAAATGTGTGACGGCCTCCAAAGCTGCTTCTAAACGAATCATCTGAAAAGTTCAATTTAAAAACCATTTTTAAACCTTGACCACAGAGATTTAGACTAAAACCCTCAGCGCAGCTCACCGTTCTCTCCCAGCATCACCATGATCTCAGAGTCTGTAAACTCTCCTCCTTTGATGTCCAGCGTGAACTCGCCCATCGTCTTCGACATGTCCGGATACTGAACGACAACAAACAATCAAACATTCAACAAAGAAGCAACTCGGCTCATTTTCTTATGCTGCTTTTTTGCAAATTGTGCAAAATAATATTTATTTTCATTTTCTTGCACTTCATAAAAATGTGTGTATCTCAATAATGAACGGAGTTGGTCCTGTGGTGAGCTTTAAAGGGTTAATGACAACACTTCTAAACCCACAAGACCGAAAAAGCTCAAGAAAGAAAAGGAATCGGCAGATAGAACTACAGCCCCGTGTGACGAAGCTTTTATTTTGAAAAGAAAAACATGACAGGAAATGAAAGTGGTAGGGGAGGAAAAAAAGAAAACAACTAGCCAAAGCAAATGAGCAGTGATTCAGAGATTAAGCACATAAACTGACCTGGTAATGCCTGAGTCTCTTCACCTCCTCCTCATTGGCCGTCTCGGCCACCTTAAAGACCAGCGACGTCTCGCGAAACCTGAGATTCTCCGTGGGGACGTAACCGTCCAGGAAGATGTTGATACCTGGAGGAAGGATGCAGGAAGATCAGGACATGCTTTGGGTCCACTTAGCGACGGTGATATTAAGGACAAATACCACCACTTGTTTCTTCACACTTTTACAGAGGTGTGGTGCAATAACGTTTTTACCCTCTCTGACGCTGAAGGGCATGGTAACGACTCCATAGGCGCTCGGCACTCCGTACAGACAGCAGATGAAGTCCGACAGGTAGTCCAGCACGCTCAGATCGTGCTCCACCACGATGATGTACCTGCAACGCAACATCACGTTTAAGAGCGGCGGTGCACCTCCAGGGATCAAACCGAAGCTTTGAAGTGACAAACCTGTCGGGCGTGATGAGTGAGCGGATGGTGATGGCGGCCTTCAGCCTCTGTTTAACATCCAGGTAACTGGACGGCTCGTCAAACATGAAACTGCAGCAGAAGAGCAGAAACAAGAGGACGGCGGTCAGTCTGCGAGCTCGGCTCTCAGCTCACAGACAAAACAATACAACGTTTGTTAAATATTAAATAAATAAGCTTTCGGGCTG